AAGTACCAGGAGGTCTCATGTTCAAGTCCAAGGAGGAATAAAAATCCCCTTGTGGCCACGGAGGTTCAAATGCGATGATTTCGGGCTATTTGCAAAGTAGGTGGTCACCTCGGAATTAGTCGACTCGCATACCGGGTTGGATATCCAGGTTAATAAAAAAAATGAAATTGAATTCTTCATGAATTTTACCGATTTTGGTGTCATGTTGGTTTTGTCTCCGTATGTAGCATCGCATGAAAAGCTTGCAAAAATAGTTTGAAATCAACCAAAATGACATAAAAAAATGAGTTTCTATCTGCTTTGTTCTAGGTTGAAGAGGGGAAATTGGATCGGTTTTTTATTCAAACGGGTGTGGGCTGGTTACGGATTCGGGATTCGCACGTTTGTCTTGTGAGTCATAGCTAGACCATGTAAAACCCGCGGTCTCTTGTTTCTCGATCTAGGCCAGATTRTTTTGTTGGGCCAAKATTTACATTTACACCTTGGGCTAAAAGTTAATGGATCACCATGGTTTATTAACTGCGAAATAAAGATGTTGGGCTTTAAAATGCGTTTAACAATTTTATTTAGTAATTAGTTTATTTTAATTATTAAATATTGGTTTAAAGTAATTAGATGATATCATATAAATGTTTAATCTAGTATAGTTTATTTTATTCGTACAAAAATTTTAAAAATTTAATTACGGTGTTTATGATTAAATAATAAGGAGAATGATCTGAGAAACAGAGTTAAAATGAGAAATGTAAAAAAAGATATGAATTTTTGTATCACTTTTAATCTCAAACTTACCCATATATTGTTTAATAGATATTTATGACTATTGTAAGATAAATGTGACAACTAGTAGTTGCTTTAGGAAAGACATCATCCAATGTGAGTTTTCATAATTTTTAAGAAACTTATACACATGCAAAAGTGTAATATCTTATATTCATGCCCTTTATGTTATATACTTGTGATTTGTGATGTATGTATAGAGAGGAACTTGGGATCACGTGAGAGCGGTTTGTTTACTTGAGATCTGTAAGACCATTTTTTAACACTTGAAACTTTACAACAAAATGTTGTAAATGTAACCTTCACAGTGTTTTTTCTGTGAAGGTTCAGTTTTTTTTTTTACATTCAAAGCGTTTTGCTGTGAATTTCAAGTGTAAAAAAATTGTCTCACGGGTCTCACGAAAACAGGTTGGTCTCACGTGAACTCAATCTTATTTTAATAATATAATTAATTGTGTAATCTTTAAATTAAACAAAAAATCCATTGAAGATGAATGTTATATTTTTTGGAGATTGACTTTTTACTTATCCATATATTATAAAGCATTTGACAAAAACTCTTAAAAACAATTATTTATGTATAAATCATTGTTTATTGATGCATATTACTTAAAATTCAATATTACAAGTAGAGTGTGCATGTGTACATCTTATTAAAGCTCCATGTTTAAATTTTTGTAACTAATTGTAGATGAACATAATTAAATACATGATAAACATCATTTTAAATATAAAAAATCTAAATTATAATTAAGATAATCATTGAGTTATAACAGAATACTTAATTATTATCTTAAAAAAATATTTTATTAAACCAAAAATAAATTAGTTCGTTATTAGACATCAATTAAGTTAGTTCGACCAATGCAAATTGAATGTTGAAATTTACAATCAGTTCTAATTAGATCAGTCGGTTCCAATTGAATTGATTGATTTCCTATACATCCCTAATAACAATATTATTTCATGATACTACTATTTTATAAACAAAAATATGTAATTTATTTTTTAATTAATTATTGAAGTTTGTTAATCCATTCCACTAAATAATGCCATGATATTGTCTTCCACTCTCCATGTTTATTTTATTTTTTCCTATCCCTAATAATTAGGGGATATTGGTGATTTTTGGTTTTATTCAAATACTCCAACCCAATTAATTTGTTTTCAATTTGTTTAAATCTGAATTTGCTCTGTGTTGGTTTTTGAATTTTTAGTTTCACTTATGTTGGTTTTAACACATTAAAAATGATTAATTAATTTGKTTCATTGTTGAAGAGTTGGACTAAATTAATACATTGAGTGAATTCGATCCGATTTGATCATCCTCATCCATTGTATGTTAGGATGGATCCAATCCGATCCAATTGATATCCAATAAGAATATTTGATGGATATCCAATGGATGGAACCGAACCGACTCAATCATCCATTGGATTCGATTGGATCTGTCATCTGTTATCTAATAATGCTAATAAGATTGGATCGGTTCACAAAATCCACCATCCAATAGATGTCAATCGATGAGCATGCATACCATCATTGACCTGAATCTATCACCGACCTACTGCCATCTTCAACAAGAACCAAAGCTCGACARTCACCATCTACAGCCTCCACTCGATGCCACCATCGCGGGTCTCCTAGGCCTCCATCTCCTTCTAATCTTCTAGTATCTTCTTTTAAAAAATAATGATAGTCATTTTTGCACCTATTTTTGGGATTTTGGTTTTGATCTTTAATTTAGGGTTTATTTAGATTATGATTTTAGAATTTGTAACACACTTTCTTTAATTAAGTTATACAAAAATGTTGTTCATATATAATATTTGTGACAGTATGTTGATGTCCTTGAACCTTTCTGAATTGTCTTTGAACTGGGGGTTTGATTTTGGATCTCTTTAATGATCCGCATTTTTTGGATGTGTGTTTCGTTCGGAATTTTGTAATCAAAATAGGCGTACACGACACGATGTTTTAACCACATACCTTCAGCTGKAAATGGCAATCCTTGTAGCGTATTGCCACTGAGGTCTAGGGATTTAAGCAGCGGAAGAACATTCAAGGATGTTATAAAAYTTTTATTGAACGTATTAGCGAAGGGAAGGTCTCATTAGTAATTATATTGGAGCTAAGGTCGAGTATCTCCAACTTCTTCAAACTCGATAACCTTCCAAGTCCTGCAAGACAACAAAATTAATGTTGTTTCTTGATGTCAAAGAGGGTAACTTTCCAAAAAGATTGCTAATAATAGGAAGTAGGAAGTTGAATAGCATGATTGGTTTTATATCACACACTCAAACTCCATCTTAGAGGCTACGATAACAAGGAAAGGATGGCTTTCCAGAGACTCTCACAAATAATGCTTAAATTCTCCTTCAGGGTTGCCTCTTAAATAGAAGAAATAATCTTGTGAACACAAAGGTGGCGTTTGTTTTTTAAGAGGTGCTTAAGTCTGAAGTCTGAATTCACTTCTGAATTTTAAGAGGTGGTGCTGAAGTCTGAAATCTGAATCAGTCAGACTGTTTATTTTTACGTCTGAAATCTGAAATTTGAATCATTGAAATCTAGGCTTTCTTTGCAAGCATTGAAAGCTCTAAAAGCAATTAAGAGGTTTTAAGTGAAAATGTTACCTCTAAATAATTCAGACATAATCAGAGCTTTTAAGCTCTTAATTGGAAAAAAAAAAAAACAAACACACTTAATACCCTAAGGTCTGAACGATTCAGACATAAGAGGGTATTAAGTGTTTTTTAGGTAAAAACAAACAAGGCCAAAGATAAATACAGCTTGTGTGGGACCACAATACGCGAAATTCCAACTTACTATCGAAAAAATTGTATCAAAATATGCCAGAAACAAAGAAAATATTMTAYCGAAATGATGCAGGAAACTACAAAGACAGTTGGCCTTGCATGAAGAAATTGGATAAAAGGAGTTGTTTCAAAATGTTGGCAGTTTATTCGCATGCAGATACATACTTTTCAAATCGGATGTAACTAAAGAGTGATACTAGATATTCAATTAGGCATAGAATTAGGATATGTGCTTAAATATAGAAKAGAATAGTACTACATGACTAAAAAAAGTCGATGGTTGCCAATTTCAATCCAAGTCTGTTCAATTGCGATCTACTTGACCTAGTAAAAATAAGATTGCATTATATTAGAATATGAAACACTCCTGAWTCTTATAACGACACAAATACCTATTTCTTAAATTTCCAACAAAAAATCCAAGTTTACGTGTAAAATATTTTTTAAATAGTTGTGTAAATATAAAGATTTATTGATTACCATTTACATACGAATATGGAGGGTTGAGTTCACGTGAGACCAAAATTTTACACTTCAAACTTCACAGCAAAAAGTTGTGAAAGTAAAAGATTTCCGAACATTCACAGCAAAAACAATGTGAAGGTTACCTTCACACTGTTTTGTTGTGAAGTTTCAAGTGTAAAAAAGTGGTCGATCTCATGAAAACAAGCGGTCTCACATGATGATCCCAAGTCTCAATATGGAAGCCCGACAAGATGTGGTATGTTTTTTTTTCTAATGCTAATACAAGGAACTCATCCATCTCAGATCATCAATCAACTAACCTTGTGTGAATCCTCACACAAAAACCCTTTAATTACATGTAGTTGTAGTCCACAAAGATACGGGTTTTCTTCGTAGCTGTTGGCCATAAAGGTCCCAAATTGTCCTTTCATTTCTGGGAGTCTATACGCGACACATTGTTGTTAGCAACGATGTAAACAGCCAGATAATTCAACCCAATCAGTTGCAATGGAACTTTACCACTCAACCGATTTGATGAGATGTCCGCCATTAAAGTCAAGTGTTAATTTCAAAATCTATACGGCGGCCTCTAGCAAAATAATACGGCAKCACCCCTCAAAAACGTAATTTTTTCAGTTTACTATGGAACCATGAAAAGGTGGSCCGTCCAGAGATTTTGAAAACATTATTTTCTTTGATTACTACTAGATTGCAGACAATAATTTTTCTAAATTCAACAACCCATAAGTCAAAAGCATATATCTACCATTATTTGACCTCCAAGTAGTTTTCTTTTCAAATTTGGTAGTGATTTTGTTGTAAATTTGGATTAAAGGCCTCATTTAGGGCTTTCATCTTTCCAGAAAATGGTTCATCACTGTAACCGTGGTGGTGGTGGCCGAAATCATGGACCTCAAGCCACTATACACGATGATTCTTGGACCAATCGATGTAAAATCCAACAACGATAGAAACCATATGATTAATTTAAAGGATAGCATTGTTCTTACAATCAATGGTTGCTGAAAACTCGAAGCGAACTCGCCGACTGTCTCCTCCGATTTGACACCAATTGAGATGAGAGTTTGGTTGATTTTCAGAGGGTTTTCATTTCTTACGTCGTCGGTTATATACAAAAAACGTTGAATCTTCAACACCATGACCTCAAATCAAGCCAGGGAGCCACATAGAAAATCCACCATCATCCGCTTCTTCACATTCCCCACAGTTCACAAGAAAAGTATAATTTACAAAACTCACTTAGATAAATTTCCTTTGGTGATTACCAACGGATCACGATTCGATGTATATAATCGTGTTTCCGAACGATCCAAATCGAACATTGGTGTTGTGAAGTTCTGTTCATTAAGTTAGACGAGTTCTATTTTGTGTTCGAGATCGATTCGAGCTCCAAAATTATTAAGCTCGAGCTCAAAATAAGAAGATGAAGTCTATTAAAAATATGTTCATTTTGGAAAGGAAAAAAACATATAATAAGAGAGGTCGGATAACGTACCTTGAGCCGGAAACGATCCACTTAAGAAATTGTAACTAAGATCAAGGGTTTTTAAGCAGTGGAAGAGCACTTAAAGATGTTAAAGCTTTCGTTGATTTCGTTACCCCTAAGTTTCAAAAACTTCAACTTCTTGAACAATTCAATTTCAACAATCCATATGAAGCTAATATAGTAAGTTATAATACCTGTGTTCACAACAATGTTATCAAGACAATTGTATGACATATTGAGACTCGTTAACTCTTTAAAATGAAGAAAGAGAGAGACATTGAACGACCACATCCTCTCGCAAGGTTTAACGACCCTCCCCGTGTTATCTGCCATCCCCATCATGTTGCTTAATTAAAGACAAGTTCGTTACATGCCCGGTGGTTGTGTTGCACATGAGCCTCTCCCAATCACAACACTCGCGGGTGCCACCGTCATCAACCCAAGTGGGGAGAGGGTCTACACCATATGAATCAATAAGGTAAGCTTTGAGTTTGAGTAGTGACTTTCTCTTATCTTGTATACAAACACTGTGTGTTTGCCAAACCATGAAAGTATGTATCATCATCATCAATATCATCAACAACCATGACTTCTGTTTACTCACACAACACCACTCCATTTTAGCTGCTACAATGGCAATGATGGCTTTTTGTAGAAACTCACAAATAATGCTTAATTTCTTCTTTTGAGTTGGTTCTTAAATAGAAGAAATAATCATTTATTAGCACGATAAATATAAAATAAATAAAAACCGGGTACTTTCCGGGATCATCCCCAATAATAATACGAATTAGCGCAAAACAAAATCTTAGAGGCTTAACAATAAAATATTTAGAGCATTTTTAACAGCTATACTAAATTAAAGAGTTTAACAATAAAATATTATAGAACAAACTAATCTACATAAGGTAACAAAATTGTTTTAAAAAACAACTTTAATTATAATGTTTTAAAAACCTTACAGTTATAATAACTAAAAATCAAAACTTTATTAATTATATGTCAATTTGTATAGGTAAAAATTGATGATTAATTAGTTTATTTATTTTATTAAATTATTTTTTTTTAAATAAATGAATAAATATATATCTCAAATTCTCAATGAGTTTTATTATTAAAAAAATGGATAGGGCCCTCACTTTAACCTTAAGGAGCGGTTCCTCTATGAAAACCGCTCCAATGAGGTGGCCAAAAAACCCTCGATTCTTAATGTTAATAAATCAAAAGATGGGTTATCGATATTGATGAGGTGGTAAAAAACCTTCCCATCATAGATGCTTCTAAAAGTTTATAATATTAGTTTTTGTAAAAACTTTATTTTTGGGTTACATCGATTATTTCAACATCAATATTATTACATTAATAATTATAAAGTCAAAAAATAAAATAAAAAATAAAAAAATGTCATTTTTTACAAATTTCATGTAAGAAACAATGTTCTTGTTCAAACAACTAGAAGACATGAGGTTCTTCTAAGAACCTCTCCACAATGGTAGGTCTTAGAGAATCTCCAATGCAAAGTTCTTATTAGCAAAAACGTAGTGGTTTGTAAGAACAACCATTGAGGAGAGGTTTTTATAAGAACCTAATGTCCTCTAGGTGCTTGAACAAGAACATTGGATCTTACCATGAAGTTTGTGAGAAATTACATTTTTCTTATTTTTTTATTGACTTTATAAATATAGCAATTATTGATGTTGAAATAATCAACGAGACCCACAAAATCAAGATTCTTATAAGAACTATCATTGCCGACTCTTAAGAAAGTTCTTAATTTGATGAGTTGGAGATAAGTTGACAACAAAAAGTGTAAAAAAAGATGTTATTACAAGTCATTAAACTTTGTACTAATAAGAATTTTGCGTTAAAGATATTGTTATAACATAACTGCTAGAAAGATGTCATTATCAACAACATAATTAAGGTCACAAAATAAACATGAAAATTCTTGGTCAATGCAATCATTCAATATTCGTCTTTTCATTCTAATTTGGTCCCAACACTTCACGAAAATTCTTGGTCAATGTTATTTTTTATTTAGCTAAGCAACGATTTTTTTTATTAAATACATGATAAACATCATTTTAAATATAAAAAATCTAAAATATAATTATAATAATTATTGAATTCTAACATAATACTTAATTATTATCTTAAACAAATTATTTTTTTAAACCAAAATAAAATTAGTTCATTATTAAACTTCAATTAAATTATAATGAAAATTTGAATTGAAGAAATTACACAAAAAAACAAGAATTTTTAAATAGTTAATTTGATACTAATATTAATATATTTTCTTCTAATTTAATTATATTTCATTTAAAAATAAAAACATTTTTTTTTCTCAAAACCACGTAAAATCGTATTTTAACATTGATAGCCAAACTATAAAATGAAACATTAAAATTAAGATGTATCTCGTTGTATTACGTGAGTACTCTTCTAGTATAGACAAATCTTTGAAAAAGGTTTTATAACATATCTAACAAATTATTCAAAATTAAAAAAATAAAGACTCTATAACCTTCTTTAAAATAAAATAATTTTTATTTTACTCCCTTTGATAAAATAAAATTGAAATCAAATATTTAAAAGAGATAAATATCTACTTATTTAGGATTTAAATCTCTTGGATCTTTTCTTATTCAATATTTAAGAAATTTGTGTTCGAATACGCATATAACGGGAATGAGAGAAAATATCTATTTATTTAGGATTTAAGTGTTTAAGTTTCTCTTTTACATTTATTTAAGTCTTAACTCTTAAGCTATGTATGTAATTATCATTTATTACCAAGTTATGTATATTTAAGAAGGAGAAAAAGTTCATGTCTTACAAAAAAAGCACATCGTATAACACGTTACAACTAGCGCTAAGTCTTAATTAGAGTGGAGACACAAGAATTAACGTGCATCGAACCCAATCCTCAATGATATAATACGTCATAACAATTATTTAGAACCATTAACACGACTAAAAAGTTATGATAACTCAAAGATGCAAACCCTACTCCATAAAATCAATGATCAATTCCACGCATACTTCTACTCCATTAATTACGATATGATTCAATTCAATCCACTCATGCTCCCTCTCAACCATTCCTACTTGTCTCCTTTTGGAGAGATAAATTTACATTATTGGAGTTTGAATATTTATTGATTACATACTAATACTAATATAGAATCAAATCTTCCTTAAAAGATGGCCATACAAAAACCCTAACTAATTAAACGAGAACTACAAAAATATAATTACGCATCAACGAGATGAAACTCGAGTAGATAAGACAATAGACATAACAATTAATCCCATTTACGAACCTAAACTCTAACACAATTTATAAAATTAATGTGTTTTTTTGTTTATATTCTAATTTTATTGTTTATATAAAAGTATTAATAAAATGATCGTAGGCCCTCTACAATTGAAGGCCCCACGGGGCAACATCAATTGCAGACYTTCAGTGTCGGCCCCATTAAGACTAAGTCGGGCTAAGATCATTAGAAAATAATGATAAATTTTGTTAGGATTATGTCATATGTTTATGAATGGTATGAAATTATCATGTTAATTGCGATTTTTTTGAGAAAATGTTTTAGCAAACGCTAACTATTCAAGATGAGTACATTATGCGATTTTATATGATATAAACATATGATTATTACAAAATACTTTATTCATGATATTGATATGTTTATATATACATATGATTGTGACTTGATAATACTATATGATGATCAAGTATAAGAATCACGTGGAAGATGATGACGTTTTTTATTAGTATTCTAACAAGTTTTAAGGTCAATTTGAAATAAAATTTTCTATTGCGCTTTATTATATGATATTATTTTAAAAAAGTACTTACAAAATCAAGTATCTTATATAAATGTATTCATATAGGATGACCAAAAAGGTCATATTTGCTTACTGTAACAAATTTACATATGACGTACAATCGTTTGATCCTACAAAACTTAAATCTTACAAGCAATCTATTATGATATGTAGACATTTCAACATGCCCATTTATTTTGTTGCATATACAACTAGTAGGATTTGAAAATGTTGGTCCAGTGTACGGTTGTAGTGTATGCAACTAGAAGGGGTGGACATTTARGAAGACTTGTAATTGCAAGATTTGAAGTCCTCAACCACTGAACACGCCACATAATGTAAAGCCAATACTAGTCAAGGTCTTTCKAGCATTGAAATTGAGAGATAATTATTGCACTGAAATTGCCCCATACTTATTATGAACAGACATTTCTTGTCTTTTCAACCAACTTCCACAAATAGAGTGTCAGAGCATCTCCAACAAGACAACAACAATGTTAGAGTAGAGATTTTAAAGATTTTAGAGTTTCTTTTTTTACTCCAACAACTATGTTAAAATGTATATTAAAGTATAGAAATAAAGAGAAGATAGAAAATTTCAAATTTAAAGAAATTTTCAAATTTAAAGAAATTTCTAAGGCAATGTTTCGCAAACTAGCTGATAAGCTGGCTGGATATTGATAAGCTAGCTGATGGCTTATAAGCTAGCTAGTAGTTTAGAAGCTAGCTGATGGCTTATAAGCTAGCTAGTAGCTTAGAAACTACCTGATTGATAAATCATGTTTGACAAAACTAGCTGATACAAATGTAAAATGAGCAAAAAAATGTATTTTGAAAAATTAATCAATTATAACATTTTAAAATATAATCGAAAAAAAGTCTAATAATATAATATATTAACTAATACAAACAA